GTATCAATGGACAGCATTGAAAAACTAGCCGGTTCTTCTCTAGATAGAACTTTTCATTGTTTTACGCTCTAAATTTATTTTGTTTGGATCCAAACCAAGTCCTGGGGTTTCCTGTCAATCATCTACAAATATCTAATAACGGAACAGAACAAGCGATGTTGAATCCCTTGATCTTGTGACTACATTGCTACTTAGTAGACAGAAACTCATCAGTTAAATATGGGAGAATAATAAGTGAACTTGGAATTTCGAGAACTATACAGTGAATTATTATATTTTTATCATGTATCACCAAGTATTTGGTCCATGGTATTTTTATGTTGCTCCAATAGTAAGCATCCATTTAAATCACTAACTCTTGATCTATACTTACGGCTCAGAAATTAAAACTAAATAATTATACATCTCTTACCTAATTTGCACCACAGATGACCTAATTATGAATCTACTGAAACTTCTCACTTGTTATACGTTTCGGTGTTGCAATCGATGTAATTGTATGAGCTTTGAGCCATAAATACAGAAAATAGATGGGCTGGCCGCTTTCTTTTATGACGTGTAGTGTCGGAAGACTGGTACTAGTACACGGTGTGCTACGCGCTACCCCCTCAAGTGACTACTTGAGCGACAAAGTATATAATGCACAATACCCATTTCAATATATATCACTAAAGCCATTAGGAAAATGATCCGTGTCTTCACCAATGAAGTGCACTTGTCTTTTAGGTCACTTCTGATTATCATCGACTAATCTCATTACTCTACATTTGATCAGCTCCCAATATCACTCATGTGTTCAATTTGGGGAGGTTAAGGACAGAAAGAACTTTGGTTGTCCAACCAGCGTCAGCATACTTAATGGCGACAGGTGCAGCTAAGGTTATATGTATTATTGGCGTACGCAGACTTAGTAAATTAGTGATCCTATTGAGTAGATATGTTAAGTAGTTGAATCCGTAACCGTCAACAATAAAGAATCTGTGAGCTTATATTAATTAATGTGACTACACATCGATCATTCACTGCTGATGCAATAGTCTAATTTTCACTTCATCTAAAGTTGATAACATAGTAATAATTGGAATTTTTGGTGGCACCGTTTTAGAGAACAAAAACTTACATCATTTTGGGAAACCTAATAAAATTAAGCCTTTTTTGAGTACATTAAAATGTTCATCAAATCCCAAACTATCTTACAGAATTCATCGGAACAATAAAATATCTGAAGGGGTTTTGTGGGGGTTTTAGTAATTTCAATAGTTGAAATCATGAGTCAATTGAAGCTAGACCACCATGAATCACCTGAAAGCATTGCACTGAGAGGTCCTGGGTTCGAATCTCGCGAGGGGCGGGATCGTGGATGCGTACTGCCGAGGAGTCCCATACTAGGACGAAACGGCCGTCCAGTACTTTTAAGTTTTCCATGGTGGTGTAGATTGAACTGACTGATGATCTCAACTATTGAAACTGATAAAAAATATCTAAAACTAAATAAAAAGAACACATTGATATATTATATAAATTATTGTGTGTATTCTTATATTATTGTTTTTCCTTTTCTGAGAAAATATTTATTAAAACAATCTAATAAATAACTAGACACAAAAGAAAAAGAATGTTGATTATACAAAATGATGTGTCTGTCTGTGATAAAGGTGTCATAAGTTGAGAGAGGGAGATACAAAGTAGAAATATTTTTCTTAAAAAAAACAATGCAATATTAGAATCCTAATGTGAATAAAAACATTCAATTATAACTGATTATCACAAATATTGTAATGAGTATAACGGTTGGTTTATATATATAATAGAAAAACATCCTAGTTATTCCTATTAATGATAATAATAATAATAATAATAATAATAAGTAGTAGTAGTATAGTAGTAGTAGTAGTAGTAGTAGTAGTAGTAGTAGTAGTAGTAGTAGTAGTAGTAGTAGTAGTAATATATTGTTAACGAGAAGAATTTAGACCCAGTTTGATTGTCTTAATAATAGTAATACCAATAATAATAATACAACGGTAATACATATCAGCAACCATTAAAAAACCATAATATCAATATAAGCAAAAAAAGTAAATTAATAGAAAAAAAAGGAACGTATTTCTGTAAAACGATGATGAAGGATGATGATTATTTCACCACATTTACATCGTAAAACATATTTGACGATTAAAACAAAAATAAACCAATCAATCAATAGAATACAAATTTAATAAGAAAAATCAGTTTTTTCTTCTCATAGAAAACAACCCAGAATGATACAATATAACTTGAAGAGGAAGAAGACTAAGAGTTGAAGAAAAAGACAATGATTATTTTTAGACAAGTTCCCTTTATAATCACTGATAAATATAAACAATCATCATAATTAAAAAAATAATAATTCAAAGAAATGCTTACTTGATTGAATTCTTTTTTTCTTTTCACTATCAGTAAAGTAGTACACTTAGAATACTACTGTTTGTCTTTTTTTTTCTTTTCTTTTCAATGAATCAAATCAATTATCATTAATGGAAGATTAATGAATAGACCATATAATTAGCGAAATGAATAAATAAGAATGTCATTTAAGTAAAGAAATATGTATCTCTCATTTTATTTATACATAATTATAAAATGAGAGATTTACAAATATGTCGAATTCCATCATTCATTCATTCATTAATCATAATAATAAAACGCAAATTATACAATTCAACTATTAATTAACAACAATAATGGAATAATCCTACTAATAGTAATGATCATTCAATAAATAAATAAATAAATAAAATCCACATTATTCTATGAACAAGAATGACAGAGAAAACGTTTCTGTTTCTTTCTTTCTATTATCGGTGGTAAACAAAAGATTAACGCAAATTAAGTTGAGAAAATTTTCTCTTTTTTTGTTTATTTTTTAGAAATACCAACAACCAATTTATACAACATTTAAAACTGTGAATTGTTAATAGAAAAATTACAATTCATTTCAGGATAGGAATAAAATACCTAAATAAGTTGAGTGATATATATTTCGGAAGAGAAAATACCTATGAAATTGACAAAAGAGAAACATTGAAATAAATGAATTGATGAAATAAATGCAAATTATTCGAATATATATAATTAATATAATAATGATGTCATCCAATATATAATGGTTCACATCATAATTTTTCAGATATCACATTATAGGATTAGTGTTCACTTTTTCACACCTTAGTTACCTAGACATACATACATGGGTAAGATAGTGCACTACTTACAATATCTGTATATTAATGGTATATGTTATATTGTGTACATTACAGTAACAGAAATGAATAAGAGAATGAGATTTATTTTGAAAATTTTGGTTGAAGAATGAAATATCGAAAGTAATTAAACAACTAGATTAAAATAAACCTACGGGCAAGTAAACCAAGATGTATTATCAGTTAATGAAGTCATTAATTGTTAGTCTAAATAATCTTGATAGGTTCAGACTACCTGGTTGGAGTCAGTGAGGTGAGGTTAGTTAAAATGGCTTAAAACTGATCGCAGTGGTGTAAATGAATTAGCACTTTGTTTTAAAATACTCATACTTCCCATCCTTCGAATTTATTGTTCCTTCTCAAATAACAATTTATATGTCTAACCTTTTCTACTTTTAGCAATATGGCATTGGTCTTGAAAATTTCATCGTGCTTTGCTAACGTGATTGAGTAACTTGAATCGATGCACATATATGTCAGGGTTCTACTCTGTTTATGAATGAATGAATCATTGACTCCAATTTTAGATAATTTAATTCAACTAACAAATAAACCAATATCTTAATGGTTTCGTAGTTATAAAACTTGAATTCACTCCTCTATGGGGAAATAGCATAATGCATTTGATCTTGAATATTGAAATGAATTAGTTTCACTAAATAGAACCTGAAAATTTTAGATTATTGATAGGTAAAAAGTGATATTAGAAGACCTCATCGGATAAAAAGTGTCTTTCGTAAATCTTGAAAAAGAAACGCTGGACAAATTGTTTACGTGATATAATTCAGTTTAACAGTTAACTTAGTCGATAACACTTTCCTTTCTTCGAAACTTTTTTCAGACAGATATCACTACATAAGGTACATTACCTAGAATAGAAATCATCAACCATCACTGAGCAAATTACACCTAGTTTTAGGCATCTAAGTAATTTGGGCAGCTCCGACAGTTATTAATTATATCAAGATTACGTTTTTTTTAACATCAACATACTTATATATTTAGCTTGGTTTATACACGAGAAATTACTCATAAATTAAACAAATTGTGTATCACTGATAGTTTAGAATATGTAGTTTAATAGAATAATCACAGATGTTATATTAACTCTGCACTATTAAGTATTAAAAACTAGTCAATGAATGCTTACTAACATCACGTTTCAATGAATATGCTTTGAAATGTTGAGGTAATACACGTGTTGCTCGATCAACAAACTGACGTTAAGCGGTATCATATAAATGAAAATTCATCGACCTAGTTTGTATTGCTGGTGTTACTGAGGTTACTTAAGAATTCCTATTGAATTATGTTAGTAACTAGATCGGATAAGATACTGCTACGTGATACTCTTTATCATAATACAACGGATGATAAATGAAACAAAGCAAATACTTCTAAAGATAGAAGTTCACTATTCTAACATTCGTAGAATAATATGATACTCAGAGCAATTGAAATAAAGTTAACCAAACATAATTATGCCTGGTATTTGATTAGCATAACACAGTTAGGTCGATAAATTAGATTTAAGTAATTTCAAATTATTCACAAATCTCATGTTTTATTCATTTTATTCAGTAGTGTCTTCGTATCAACACTAATTTGTTTACACAACCCTTTGAAAATAAAGTTAACTTACCTATAATAAATGTTTAAAAAAACAACTTATGTCTTGCATACACATGTTTCTATGTCCACAAACTACATTTCTGACAATTTAAATATTTACATGATAACTTAAAATGGTGTGATCTATCATTATTTGAAGGATGAGAATACAACAGGTGTATGCGGATGATATTTTCTATGAAAATTTAATGGTGGTAAAGTTAGTCTTCTTGTCTTTCTTCGCCTAGTCAAAAGTCCACCGTCATCAAAATGTTGATTATGCTGCTTTTGCAGACGATGTTTATCAGAATGATGTTGAATATGTTTAAGATGTGTAGATGTGGCTAAAGCTTTACTATCACTCTCAAAACTACCCACACAACCCTCACCATCATCTTCACTCTCTTCATTTTCCGCTTCTTCGACTACTGTCACATTTTTATCATTCAGTGTAGAGCTAACTTTACTTGACTGGAATGTTTTAAATAAACGTTGATAGTTAAATGAAGAATTTGTACTGAATTTCATTGAGTTTATCTGACACTTTAACGATTTATCAGTGTTTTTATGCGTTTTTATTGCATTAGGAGATGTTGGTACTGAAGATGATATCAACCCATGTTTCGTTTGTTCTAATGCAGTAACTGATTGCTGTTGACTTATAAGGCGTGCAAATACATTGAAAGTTAATAGTTGGTTGGCTGTTGGACGATCAGATGGATTACGTGCAAAACAAGCATCTAGAACTGCGATAAGATCAGTAGTCAAATCTTTCGGATATGTAGGAGGTGAGTTGGAAGTAGCAATCTGAATAGTGTACAAATGAGAAAATATGATAGATATAATACCAATCACTATGACGATAATAAACAAAACTTATTAGCCTAATAATAATCAGAGAAAACAGTGAGTAGTAAAACGGTTGACTTTGAAATCAAACCTACTCATCATTAACAGTCAGGAATTAGTGGATGAAACGAGTTCAGAAATTATTGTGTCAGGTACTGGTCTACCATATCTTGCATTTGAATTCCTATAAACCAATCACTTCTTATTGGAAAGAACTCATGTACTACAGATATGATCTGTGGATTTATTAGCGTGTTTGTTTACCAGCAAAATTAGAAGGAATATGTTGTAGGACAAAAAGTAGTAAATGAAAACAATCAGAATATATTCATAAATAATTTTGGAACGTTTGTCTAGGCAAAGTTATTGATAAAACTCAGTGTCTAGCTTATAGATCAACAAATGTTATTAAGTAGCAATTCAGGTAGCGACTATAATGTCCTGTAGAAGGTTATTGACTATTGCTGATCAAATGTCTATAAGTCAGTAAAAACTTGGAATATTATTGTTCAGTCAAATGTTGTTACGAAATCACAAAGAAAACAGAATAGCATAAGTGAGACTAACAATGGAATCTAGGACTCGTGTTTCACTTTATTTAGGACTCATCAACTTGATGCACTTGCATATTAGTATTGATGTCCACACTATTAGTTACGTTTCACCTATTCTAGATAGCCTGTGAGTTAATGGCTATATTGACTCAGTCAACAGTGTTCATATGCCACCAAAGACTGATCGAAATACAGTCACTTATATCAACAACTGGATAACTCATTTAAGTGTTTCGAAATATTCACAGATTGGAAAGAAACAATGCAACAAACTTATTGTGGATTTTCGATTCAGTCAGTTGTGAAACACCATCTTTAAGTAAAAAATGAAAAGTAAATAGCACATCAAAGCAAACTACTTAATGTCTTAGTGTTAGTTTTATCTAAACACATACCATACACACTCATATATACACCACGAAACAAATAAACAACTGACACACTTACACATGTACTAATCTTTCAGGATAATATTTCCGCTAATTATTTTTTTAAAAACAACAACATATAATTTAAATTTTTATCTAGTTTAAAGATGAATTGTAAGTGTTGGCTAATTTCATTTGGCTTATTGAATTCAACGGAGCGTAAATATCATAATAAAGCTATTATTATTATTATTATTATTATTATTATTATTATTATTATTATTATTATTATTATTCACTGCAGGCACTGAATGGTTATAAGGAATATCGTGAATTGACCAGTTTGGTCTAGAGGTTGGTAGTTCGCTTGTGAGACTGAAAGTCCTGGGTTAGATTATCAGATCTGGAGTCCTGGATGCGAATTGATGAAGAGTCCCATACTAGGATGAAACGGACATCCAATGCTACCAGGTCTCCAATGATGAACTAACCAAGATCAAATTCACTTGGTGTTGTTTTACTTGTATCTTCCCATTGTTATTTAGGACTGCAACTGATCAGTCCCTTGTTGGCATATGTGCATCCTGTGAAGATTGCCTCGATATAGCCTTAAGTCAAAAGCTTATTAAGCAAAGATGCTAGCCACTATCCATCTTTGCTTAACTAAGATCATTTTGTGATTTAAGCTACAGAAAGTTTTACAATCTCAACACCCCCCCATTGTAATACTATTATTGAATAAACAGAATACATACATACACTGATATACACTTACAGTGAACATAAGAGCAAAACGGTTTGTTAATCTAGCATCATGCCATGGTGGTTTACTTGTAAGCATTTCTACTAGACAACAACCAACAGACCAAATATCACAAGCTCTACCATATGTTTCACCTCGAAGTACCTAATAATAAAAAATGAAAATACAAATCGCAATAGTGATTGGATTGTTTGACAATATCTAAAACTTAGTAATATGAATAATCAAAAACGAAGAATATTTGAGCGAACAATTGTTTTCAATAACTTCATCATCAGGCTCTACAGTTATAAGTCCATAATTATAATATTTTACAAAGGCCGAAAATAAGGCATGTTTTAATGAGTTTGACAATGTTATGTGTTAAAAAAATTGGTGCACGTTTGCATCTGTTACGATATTTAGATATATACTTCAAAAAATTGTAATATTTGCAAATTAGAAAGGTCATTCAATAAAGGTCAGTAAATTGGTCATTCACAATAAGATAATAGTACTATTGCAAAATTGAAAATAATTTTGTCAACTGAGATAATAATAATAATATTGTTGTGTGAATATAATATGTAATAAGGGGGAGTGTTATCAAGGTAATTACGGTCAACAAATTGGGAATGATGGATATGAAGATTAAGATATAGATAATGACAAATAATGATAATAAGGAAAATAAATATAAATAAAAATAAAGGAAGGGTTAGAGGTTTATAATATTCAGTCTAGGTATTCGGTGATCCAGTCGTAGGCCAGGGTAAACATAGAGACTGGATATATTTTTTCTGGATGCATAAATTAGGTCTTCTGGAGTTGATCCAGATGGCTTCGGCTGTGTAAAACAGTCGTAATCTAGCTCCTTGAGGTAGATATTTTGGAACTTGATATGAAACAGAGAAAGCTTCCTCTATTTTGATATGATGTTCACTATCTACCAAGTGAGAAAGAATGGTGCTGTTAATCGATTTGGTGACTCCTTTTCCCAACCATGCTGGTACATGATCACGAACACGCAAGGATAAAGCCCTCTGAGTACGGCCTATGTAACTAGCTCCACAGGAGCAGTTGAATTGGTATACACACATGGAGGAGCCCATCTTCGGTAACTTATCCTTGATTAGTTGTGTGAGTACTGGCTTAGTCGAGAAAGTTATGTGTAACTTGGCGGATAAGTTACCGAAGATGGGCTCCTCCATGTGTGTATACCAATTCAACTGCTCCTGTGGAGCTAGTTACATAGGCCGTACTCAGAGGGCTTTATCCTTGCGTGTTCGTGATCATGTACCAGCATGGTTGGGAAAAGGAGTCACCAAATCGATTAACAGCACCATTCTTTCTCACTTGGTAGATAGTGAACATCATATCAAAATAGAGGAAGCTTTCTCTGTTTCATATCAAGTTCCAAAATATCTACCTCAAGGAGCTAGATTACGACTGCTTTACACAGCCGAAGCCATCTGGATCAACTCCAGAAGACCTAATTTATGCATCCAGAAAAAATATATCCAGTCTCTATGTTTACCCTGGCCTACGACTGGATCACCGAATACCTAGACTGAATATTATAAACCTCTAACCCTTCCTTTATTTTTATTTATATTTATTTTCCTTATTATCATTATTTGTCATTATCTATATCTTAATCTTCATATCCATCATTCCCAATTTGTTGACCGTAATTACCTTGATAACACCCCCCCTTATTACATATTATATTCACACAACAATATTATTATTATCTCAGTTGACAAAATTAATTTTTTTTGCATTTTCAATTTTGCTATAGTACTATTATCTTATTGTGAATGACCAATTTACTGACCTTTATTGAATGACCTTTCTAATTTGCAAATATTACAATTTTTTGAAGTATATATCTAAATATCGTAACAGATGCAAACGTGCACCAATTTTTTTAACACATAACATTGTCAAACTCATTAAAACATGCCTTATTTTCGGCCTTTGTAAAATATTATAATTATGGACTTATAACTGTAGAGCCTGATGATGAAGTTATTGAAAACAATTGTTCGCTCAAATATTCTTCGTTTTTGAATATTCTATGGGGATTTTTAAACTGCTAATATGAATAAGAAAAATATTATTTATCACATTGGAATTAATAGAATCCAATAAAGATAAACTGAAGACTATAAACTACCTACATGAAAACCTAAAGCATATAATCAAATGTGGTTTATTGAGTTGATCATCGATGAAACTACTGTCCAATACTTCCAGGTCTTCTATAGTTATCTGGCTTGGATTGGTTTTTGATCATAATAAAACAGCAATCTCCACACTTCCTACACTGACAAGCACAAATAGTATAAATAGCGGGTGAAATACTAGGAGTAGTGTAAATAATGGATAGTGGTTAGTGTTAAATCGTGAATAGAAAATGTTTGGAAATGCATAGACCATTGGATTCCAGTTTAGTAGTATCGTGCTCACTACGAGACCCGAAAGTGTCGAATGAACCGATGCGGAATTGTAGCGTAAACATTATGGAAAGACCTAAAACTAGAATGAAACATCTATATAGAAATCATTAATTGTCAATGATTCTCCTGAAGCTAATAAAATAAAACTGCTTTTTACATAACTTTCTACAAAATAAATGTGGATTGACAACAAATAAATGACACGTAGTAGAATTCCCAAGATTTCTAACGAAAACAGGGATTAACGGGAGTTGTTATTACTGTCATTGATTTTCAGAAATACCATCTCTTCTTCGATCATTGACTTCATTTCAGTTAAGTCAAATGAATCATCGCAATCAATGGAGCCTGTCACAGCAATGATAAGATGTATAATTAACATTAAACAAATAAAAAAAATAATTATCTTACTTCTGGTGCCATAAATGAAAATGTACCTATAACTTGTCCTTGAAATTGACCAGCAACACTTTGTTCACCACTTAAACGAGCTGAGGCTCCAAAATCTGATATTTTGATAACAGTTCCAGTACTATCGATTAAAAGATTAGCACCTTAAATATTAAAAATATACAAAGAGTGAAACTATAAATTATCAAAATAGTCCTATATAAAATACATTATACTTTATTCGGTTCAATGATGCATGTACAGACAAAGTGTCGACTGAAAAACTGTAAATAGATGTAATATCAACGCTTCATTAACAGTATGAATGATTGCACAACAGATAATTAACGTCAAAGCCATCTAAGAGGGATAACAGAAATTTGTGATATCCATATTTCGATCTTATTCACTCATACAAAGCAACAGTCGAAATTTTTTGAGGCTGCCTATATATCGTATGAGGATTCTTCAACGAGCCTAGTATCCCATTTACTCAGTAAATGAAAGCGCGTTCAAGCATTTGTGTGCTTATTGGTTATTCAGCATCACAGTCACAGAAGAGTAACAGTTTTGTGATATTACTGCTAATGGCAATATGAGCACCTAATGTATAATACAATGTATTTTTAAAGATTATGACTAAAGTGTCGATTGTATGATTAAGTAACTTTACAATTCACATTAAATAATTAATTTCATATTCTACCTAACAAAATATGTCTAAAACTACTTATATATTACTGTATTGTAACCACATTCGATTGAGTGACTGGATCCACATTTTACTATTTTCGTTACTAGATATTTAAAGATTGAAAGATTTATTTAAACCAGACTTTGTCTTAACTCCGCCTGTAGCTCTAATAGGGTTACTGCCGGTCCCAAGCCCGGGTAAAGGAGGAGGGTTGGGCATGGGGTTAAAGTCCCCATCCCGTAGAAAACTAACTCGCTAAAAAATGCTTACCAGAAAAAATAATCCAAGCCATTTAAACTCTGCCCTGGGAGTTAGAAGGTCTTCATTTAGAAGAACTATGATGCCTCATGATGAAAGCCGAATTCCTTCGGAAGTTACGAGGTCGATGCCCCTTCTGACAACCAGAGTGACCATTTATTTAGGTACATGGAATGTCCGTACAATGTGGAGCACCGGGAGAGCCTTCCAAATTGCTGCAGAAATGAGAAGATACAACCTAGAGGTGCTTGGGATCAGTGAAACACATTGGACGCAAGTTGGACAACAACGACTAAATTCAGGAGAGCTCCTGTTATACTCCGGCCATGAAGAAGAAAATGCCCCACATACACGAGGAGTTGCATTGATGCTGTCCAAACAAGCGCAAAATGCGCTTATAGGATGGGAATCTCATGGACCAAGGATCATCAAAGCCTCCTTCAAAACAAAGAGAGAGGACATTACAACGAACATCATCCAATGCTATGCGCCTACCGACTACTACAATGAAGACGCTAAAGATCAATTCTACAATAGGCTGCAGTCAATCGTCGAGAAGTGCCCAACAAAGGACCTGACTATTCTGATGGGAGATTTCAACGCCAAGGTTGGAACGGACAACACTGGATATGAAGACATCATGGGACGACACGGACTGGGAGAAAGGAACGAAAATGGTGAGAGATTTGCAAACATATGTGGTGAAAGCCGAGTTCCTTCGGAAGCCACGAGGCCGATGCCCCTTCTAACAACTAGAGCAAAAATTTTTATAGGTACATGGAACGTTCGAACAATGTGGGAAACCGAGAAGACCAGTCAAATAGCAATGGAAATGAGGAGATACAACTTAGCAGTACTGGGAATCAGCGAAACCCACTGAACCCAAGCTGGACAGAAAAGGCTAGCTACGGGAGAGATGCTGCTATACTCCGGTCACGAAGAGGACAATGCTCCACACACTCAGGAAGTCGCTCTTATGCTGTCCAAAGTAGCACGAAATGCACTTGTAGGATGGGAATCTCACGGATCCAGAATCATCAAAGCATCATTCAAAACAAAGGAGGAGATCACAATGAATATTATCCAATGTTATGCACCCACCAATGATAGCAACGACGAAATTAAAGATCAGTTCTACGAGCGGCTGCAGTCAATCATTGAGAAATGCCCAAGAAAGGACCTAACTATTCTGATGGGAGATCTAAATGCCAAAGTCGGAATAGACAACACTGGATATGAAGATATTATGGGACGACATGGACTGGGAGAAAGAAACGAAAATGGAGAAAGATTTGCAAATTTGTGTGCATTCAACAAATTAGTCATAGGAGGCACAATATTTCCACACAAGCGTATACACAAGGCTACATGGATCTCACCGGACCACACTACAGAGAACCAAATAGATCATATTTGCATCAACAAAAAATTCCGAAGGACAATGGAAGATGTGAGAACCAGGAGAGGTGCTGACGTAGCTTCAGATCACCACCTAGTTGTAGCCAATTTAAAACTGAAGCTAAAAAAGAACAAGAAGGCAGCAATTAACAACAGCCGAACACGAGCAGAGAAAGTCCAAGCACAAGCTGAATACATAGAAGCAAACAAACAAGTGAAGAGGAGCATTAGAGCCGACAAGAAGAAATACGTGGAAGAACTAGCAACGACGGCAGAAAAAGCTGCTAGAGAAGGAAATATGAAACAGCTTCACGATACAACGAAGAAACTAGCAGGGAAATACAGTAAACCAGAGAGGCCGGTCAAAGACAAAGAAGGCAAGCCAATCACCGAAATTCAACAACAGCGTAACAGATGGGTAGAATACTTCGAGGAACTCCTGAATAGGCCGGCTCCAATGAATCCACCGGACATCGAAGCAGCACACATAGATCTTCCTATAGATGTCAACCCACCAACGACGGAAGAAATTAGAATGGCCGTCAGACAAATCAAGAACGGGAAAGCAGCAGGACCCGACAACATACCAGCTGAAGCACTGAAATCAGACATCGAAGCAACCACAAGCATGCTATACCTTCTATTCAAAAAGATTTGGGAGGAGGAACAAGTGCCGATGGACTGGAAAGAAGGACACCTCGTCAAGATTCCAAAGAAAGGAGATCTGAGCAAATGTGAAAACTACAGAGGCATTACACTACTGTCAATACCAGGGAAAGTCTTCAACAGAGTGTTGCTGAACCGGATGAAGGATGCAGTAGACGCCCAACTTCGAGATCAACAAGCTGGATTCCGTAAGGATCGGTCGTGCACAGACCAAATTGCAACACTACGGATCATCGTCGAACAATCAGTTGAGTGGAACTCATCACTATACATCAACTTCATTGATTATGAAAAGGCATTCGACAGTGTAGATAGGAGGACATTATGGAAACTTCTTCGACACTACGGAGTTCCTGAGAAGATTGTCAACATTATCCGGAACTCATACGACGGACTACAGTGCAAAGTAGTGCATGGAGGACAGCTGACAGATGCATTCCAAGTAAGGACTGGAGTCAGACAAGGCTGTTTACTCTCTCCCTTCCTCTTTCTTCTGGTGGTCGACTGGATTATGAAGACCTCGACATCTGAAGGAAAACACGGAATACAATGGACAACTCAGAATCAATTAGACGATTTGGACTTCGCAGACGACCTAGCCCTCCTATCACGTACACACGAACAGATGCAGATGAAGACAGCCAGTGTAGCAGCAGTCTCTGCATCAGTAGGCCTCAGCATACACAAAGGGAAAACCAAGGTCCTCAAATTCAAGCGGAGAACAGCAATCCAATCACTCTTGATGGCGAAACTCTGGAAGATGTAGAGTCCTTCACATACCTAGGAAGCATCATCGATGAACAAGGAGGTTCAGATGCAGACGTAAAGGCGAGGATCGGCAAAGCAAGGGTCGCATTCCTACAATTGAAGAACATATGGAACTCAAAACAACTTTCAACCAATATCAAAGTGAGAATCTTCAATACGAACGTCAAGGCAGTTCTACTGTATGGAGCTGAAACTTGGAGAACTACAACAACCACAATCAAGAAAGTACAAGTATTTATAAATAGCTGCCTACGCAAGATACTCAACATCCACTGGCCGGATACCATCAGCAATAGCCTTCTGTGGGAGAGAACAAACCAACTTCCAGCTGAAGAAGAAATTAGGAAAAGACGATGGAAATGGATAGGACATACATTACGCAAATCGTCAAACTGCATCACGAGGCAAGCCCTAACTTGGAACCCTGAAGGGAAGCGAAAAAGAGGAAGGCCAAAGAACACATTGCGTCGGATAATAGAAGCAGATATGAAAAGGATGAATTACAACTGGACGGAGCTAGAAAGGATTGCCCAGGACAGGGTTGGATGGAGAATGCTGGTGAGTGGCCTATGCTCCTTCACGAGGAGTAACAGGCGTAAGTAAGTAAGTAAGACTTTGTCTTGACTGGTTTCCATTAGTAAGTTAACTTGGCAAATGGTAATGAAATTTTTGTTTCCTAGAAGGTGATATTTCTTCCAATAATAGTCAAAGTTGTTTTTAGTGAAGTTGGATGGTGGCTAGAAGTAGAATCCAGAGTGTGGTTCTTTCTATCCAGAACTCATCGAGTGTTGATGTTTACTCTGAGACTCAAACCTAGTACCTACTATTTGGAACTCTTACACATTATCCATTGAGCTACTGGATTCAGATAGTCACTAGCTTGTTCAATGAGTGTTTGTCTGTTCCAATTGCTAAAGTTTTACTAATAAATTCTGACTTAATAATCATATTAAGACAATTCACTCATGAATGACTTGAGCCGAAAGAGACTGACCATTTGCAGCTCTGAATATCAGCAACGATAAAATACAAACACTGCATATATTAGTCAGAAACATTTAAGATTTTTAATCGTATTCTTAATAACTTCAATGCTATTCACATTTAAATAATTCAATGGGTGATATTCAGAACTAATAAAACGCTTGTTCTACTCCCAATTTCAGTCACAAGAAAACCTTTAGTACATTAAATCATATTATCTATACGAGAAGCTTTCCATATAGTTGGTCTACTTCAAAGCTACATAACATGTATGAACTAATTTTCACTTTTTAACCTTCCAGTGAAGAAAATAAATATAGTATTGGGGAACTTATGGAGATTAATTAAACTTGATTTTTATCACGGACTGATGTTTGGAGGGTAGCTATCAAAAGATAAGCGATATGGAATAACTCTTTTATTTTAATCAAATTAATTCGTGGTGAAAATTTCAGAGTCCATATAGTCTATATAACATAAATGTACCACCAATTTAAAGAATCCAGTTGCATGGTGGTCAAAATCGTTTGCGCTATTAACATCACGATAATCTATTTGACAAAACCTGCTGATCAATTTTGTAGTGTCTGTTCACTTGCTAGTTTAATTTAGTAGTATTAGCTGACAAATAATTTGAAAGCTTTATTATTATAATAAAAATAACAGTGGATGAAATATTCACTTCAAGTTACCTTTTAAATCACGATGTAATATACCATGTTTGTGTAAATAGGCTAAACCACGTATTAATTGTATACCATAATTTAACGTAATTGATTCATTAAAAGCTCCATATTGTTGTAATAAACTTGTTATACTACCCCCTGGCATCCATTCAATAAATAAATCAACGAACCCACGTTTCACGCAATGCACAGCACCAAATAAACGTAGAATATTAGGATGATCTAGCTGGAGCATAATACGTACTTCGGTTTCAACTTCAGCTAATTGATTTAAAGATGTCGGTGATAATGGACGATGGTAAATTGGATTTTGTTGACCATTATTATTATTATTATTATTATTATTATTATTATTATTATTATTGTCATTATCATTATTGTTACAATTTGGTTCGTTCTTATGGTCATTTTGCTGACGTATTTGTGATGGATATGCTTTATTCTTCTCTGAAGAGAAAAGTGAAAACATGCCGTTTCGACCAAGACGTATGCGTTTTTACAGCTAATAGTAGGCCAGTTCTAACATCACGTGCTTGATAACACTGTGAAAATGCACCATGACCTAGAATAGGACCACGTATCCAATCGACTGATTCATAATATTCATCTGAATTAGGTAACTTTTTAGTTTGTTGAAATGAACTCATGACAAATGACAGACCAGGTATTGGCAACAAAGGTTTTAATTGATGTGTAGAACGTGTTAAGGCATTTCTTAAGACAGTAACTTGTTCAAATTGTAAATCAGCTTCGGAACCAAGTGATCGACCTGTATAAATTGGTTCGTTTAAACTATTTTGTTGTTGCTGTTGTTGGTCTTCCCCTTCATTTTCATCATCATCCTCGTCGTCATCATCTTCAAATTCACTTACACTACTATAGTTACCAGATTCAGACAAAGCAACCAGATCATACGCTGGTTCCAGTGCAATTCGAGCAAATGATGATTTTAAAATCTGAGCTTTAATCTTTTTAGTATTTTCACTTTCATCATCATCATCATCATCACCGTTATTAACAGTTGCAGCAAGACCATTAATATTGTTATCTTTCTCAGATCTAGTAGAATCTTTTTTATAATCAATTAATAATTCAGAATTACTGATAGTTAATCTTCTTGGTGGTGGGATCGGTGGTATTTTTATAGAAGAGAAAGAAGTGTTCTTAAAAGATAACTCTTCATCTAGTGGATGTAGTGAATTATAAGCACCTTGTTGTTCATATCGCTGTTGTTGACTTGATATATCTTTAGAAGAATTAGCTTCATCCATTCGATTAATTTTTTCTATTTTACTGATGTTTTTGTTATAGGTTGGACATGTTATGTATGATGATGTGGATGATAAAGCTAGGGCCTCAGTATTAGATGGTGTAGCATATGATTGTTTAATAACTGTTGGTAATTGATTCGATAACGAAATGTTCCAACTATTATTCTTAGTTATTCTATGTACATTAGATGTTTCATTTGATGAGTAAAGTAGCAAACATAATCGATTTCGAAACCATGTAGCCAGTGGTGCATCCAATCGATTAATTTCTGATTCAATAAATGAAATCGCATTAAACGTAGACGGTGGAATCGGATCATAACGATCAAAAATTTCTTCACTTTGCCAAGTAAGCAATGCTCTGGCAGCAGTGAGAAAGACTCGTCTAGCCTATAAATAAAGTAAACAGTTAAGATAGTCTTTCCAAAAATAAGTTCTTGAGTGACAATATTGGGATTAATAGAGTGGGATAAACTATTTTCTCATAATCAATAACGGTATATAATAAGAAATTACTTGGATTTTATGAAGAAAAAATAAATTGTGAAACATTCGAACCAGCGTTTTCTTCAGGTTACCAGTACTGAATCTTATGATTGCTTGAGCCATATGAGTCAACTATTACTACTCTGATTTTCTTTCTACTTCAAACATCATCTCTGTACTTGAAAATTAGTTCGCCGACTGTGGCTGTTCGAATTAATCATTCAGTTTATCCAATTCGATTTGGATTTAGATAAAAAGTAGTCTATCTGGGTAGCTAATTTGATCAAAAGTAATAACTTCCATACCTCTCACGAATTAAATTGGTACTTGATTAACAAAGTAAGGCATCGAAAATCAATTTGTATGAAGAAAGATTAAATTTTCCGAAGTTATGGATTTATATTACTTTAGGATGTTTGTTGTTTGAACTTATTGAAATAACAAGTAAATTCTGTATCTGGTATTGTTAGAGCCACTGATGAAACATTAGAAGTTACATGATGAGCAATGGATATTTAGGAATTTTCGTAGACTGGAATTCTTCAATATTTGATGTTAATTTTTAGTATGCTAAAAATCACCGTGAGACACTTGCTATACTTGTTATTTACTGAGAAATCATTGACAGTAAGAGAAATGAAATGATTGATGTCTCGTTTGTAGTAGAAATTTCATCAGAAGTACAGGAGAGTATTTATTTCAAGATCAAAGGTAGAATTGTTCAACTCCACTTTCCAAGTGTGCTATCCTTTCAATTGTTTGTTTAATTTTAAAAAAATCTTTAATATTTGAAAATGTTCATTTAAAGATCGATAAAGCTTCAGTTATAGAGAGTGAAAAAATTCCTGGAATCTACTGAGCTAGTATCATATATTCATGATAACTAGTCGAGTCCAGGGGTACCTGAAACTTCTTTCTTTCTTCTACAATTGACGTAATGGAAAATAATTCGATTATATCATAATCGGCAGTAATGAGAGTCATTTAAACCAACTTCGTTAAGTTACTGTTAAATTGAACTTCACGGGCTTATAAATATTTATTTTTAAAAGTACCTCATTGAAGTTAGTTAATTTCGAGAAATCGTAAATAATATTCTCACGTTTATTCAGAATTATCAGCCAAAAACTAATTAATCATAGATACACAATTTTTTATAACTTACAATTCGGTTAGCTTTATATTGTGTGTAATGATAATAATCCACATTATTTAATTCATCCTGGTGTTGATGTTGATCTGTTGCTGTAGCTTTAATCGTTCTCATTGCTGACGATATTGATGATGATGATGGTGGTGGTGGTAATCTTGATAAAAAATCACCACAATGTGCATCAGTTGATTGTAATTGATAGTGATATGGAAAACACATAGTCATATTATCCGGTTTCGGATAAATCGGTAATAAATGACGTCGAGCAAATATTATAGTAGAGCATAAATGTCGTCTAGCTAATGATTGGTCTGTTAATGACAATGCTGTTGTTAGTGATGATGATGATGAATTTGTTTCATCTTTAACAACTGATGATGACTTACCAATTGGTGATGACATGTCAGTGCTGTTATTATTATTATTATTATTATTCATTGCTATTATTATTACTATTATTACCAGTATTATTCTTGATACTTAAATCAGATGACAATAATAAGGATTCATGACGTTGTGATTGTTGTTGCATTAGTAATATTCTTCTTGATTGATGCATTCGAATTAGTTTATCAACAACTGTTAGACGACCGATTAAATGAGTGGCATGAAACTTTGCAGAACTCAAAACAAAACGTACCATGTGTTGTATACCACTAACAGGTAAACATTGAGAAGCTGTACAAATTAAATATAAAGGAAATGTGCTTTTTATCAATGGTTCTATGAAAACCTAAATTAGGGAATGAATACAGAAACTGAAGTATTAAGATTTAAATAATGATAGTTACTTTTAATTCGCTTCACTAAGTTACTGATGAATGTTGACCATCTATTGTGACTCAAGTACGTGCTTTTTTCAGTTGCCCCTATTAACTTTACTACACCAAAAAGATATATCTATGTCAACATTTAAACTTTTTTGTCTAATCAGGATGTGATACAAAAATAATCCTAAGTACTGAGAGTGAGATTTCAACTACAAACAACAAAACAATGATATTTCCTATTGACTTAAGTTGTATTCTACTTGTTTGAAAGAATTGGTTTCTCCTTATTTCAAAGCTTCATTAAGAAGCTTTACTGTTTATTTATTCCATTTTACCGCCAAAGTGAGTCAAAACTGATATGATTGAATTGAAGAAGTTACTAACTATATAATTACACCATATTATTACTCCTATGAAGAGATTAAATATGGAGCTATAATTAACCATGGTGGATGGGTTGTAAACTTATATGTTCAAAACAAGTGGACTGTTTTCGTTTAAACATGAGCTACTAAAGATCATTACATTTATTTACTTCACTCATTTCACACTACGGCACTCGTTTGATTATTCCAAGAATACATATAAAACTACTGGAGATTTGTCACACAACCGATTTCCTTACATGTAGCTTCCATGAACATATGTTTTTATTTGGTAACGAGAAGTCTCACTTGCAGTGAAATCACGAGATGGTGAACAATATTTATGGGTCATACATAGCTTAAGGTAGGAAAAGATATAATTATTCTAAAATTTTTGATTCTACAGTGATTAGAATGATTACTCCTCAAATATCCACCCTGATAAAACATGTTAACTTGGGAAAAAGTCGGTTAGATGAGGCTATAAGACAGCCCTTTCAAAAAATAATGGTACCAGTTGTCAACGCTTTACTAATTAGTGTTAGTTCATTACGTCATGTAGGAATGAATATTTTGGAAAGGCAAAACTTTCGGAACTATTCTACATGGAATTACTACACGCATCTTTATTGTGTAATATCTACATTTTCGGGTTGTTTCATTTTCATACTGTCGTAATTATAACCTTTCATTTTACCAATTAATTGCCGATATATGTCCTACAGTTTCGGAATTACTGTTGATTAATTATTTACCTATTACCGTGTTTGTGTAACTTATGTATCTGTTATCTTATTGGTGCGTTGTGGTCGTGTAACTGATGTATATAAACGAGTTAGAATAATATAAGGTGAAACCACCTGTTCGTCTTCTGATTGTTCACAAAGGGGATATTAGAAGTCGTGGACTGACAGGCCTTAAGATCTTGGTCGTAATTCATAGTCATTGAGTAACTGGTTAAGAGTAGGTCATTAGTTCGACAGGTACAAAACGATCGTGTCATTAACAGACTCTACTATCAAATGACTAGATCACATGAGAGCAATACATAAAATTCCGTAAAAGTATAGGGATAAGCCAATCAGTGTCTGGAAAAGGATTGTAAGCTTTTATGAGCCAAATTCGTAAATGACTCTCATCTTATTTCGCATAACATGAGCACTACAAATACCTTGTAGTGTCAGTTATTATGTTAAGCCCATATACCTTATTCTAGCTTTCGGACATCCCATTCTATTCATTCTACTTAAGTCATATTTTGACTTAGTCAATTATTAGCTTATTAGTCTTAACTGTTTTTATATGAGCGTATATGTGTGTACACTTCATATCCCATGTCTCATCGCATGTCTGTAGTTTATTTTGTCTGCCTATAAATATTGAGTAACGCCTGGCTAAAAATGAGTTGGCTTACCAGCCATCTCCACTGCGCGTCATTTTGCTTTGTTCTGTCACATTCACCTTACATACAAAATATATGTATTCAAAGGCTATTCTCGTTAATTGACTTATCTAAATTACGTTATTGACTAACGTGATTTAAGTCGATGATTGTATACGAGGATAGATGGTAATAAACATTCTTACGATCTACATGGAGTCAGATACACGGGCCACTAAAACCCTCGTATAGTACTCAGAACATTTAATAGGAAAATGAAAATATTTTTTAACCATAGAGTGAAAGTGACAGTTCCAAACTCATCAAATGCTTGGTTCTCACTGTATAACACGTGCAAATAAACCCTCACCTTAACCTTGAGTCCAAAATCGTAAATACCTAACCGTAAGCTCCCAATCCACATGGTTACAAACTGTTCTTTCATTACTGCCAATTTCAGTTCGTGATGAAAACTCTAACCTTAATTTCTAACTACTAGTCGTAAATCTTAACAGTAATTAATAACCAGGAGACAATCTGAGGACTCCTAAAATCTCTTTGAGTCTTTATAAAGGTTCGAGAAGGCAGGTGCAGCATATTCATATAGACGGATTTATACTTTGTTGTTTCCTCGGTATACAGACAGGGAAGATTTTATACGACTTTGGTAGATTCCCTGATTATGCAAAATCTGTCTACACTTCGTAATATTATTGTTTCCTTTTCCATGAACTACTCATTTGGAAAAGCCATTTAGTGATTGGCTAGAGAACTGAATAAAAATCCCTTGTGGTTGTTTTAAGCTCATCCCTATATCATACTCTTAGGGAAAATTTGGACTTAAAACGTAGCATGTAAATGATGTACAAAGAAAAGCACTATTTTCTAGAGTTCTTTCATAAATAAGGATGAAAATAAAATAATAGTAAGCAGAAAAAGCCTTCTTACCAGAGTGAACTTCTCGACCGATGGCTAAAGCACCTGTTTGTCCTTTGGCTAGTTCTATAAGTGTAGCTAACGCAAGATTGCAGCGATCACGAAAGTTGGCATCGGCTGGTATTTTTGGGAATGCAATACTTAATTCATTCGTAGGTTTTGTGAGATTATTTTCATCAATCTTAACATTTAATTGACAACTGGCAGATTTTTTCACATCTAAATAAGATGAATTATTGTTCGTCAGATTACAATTTGTAATTGTTTTATTTTCGTCATCATTTTGTTGATGAGTTGCTAACGGTAAAAATGATTCCGGATTACGTAGATTCCATAAGTTACTTTGTCCACCTACGAAGCGTAATAGACGACGTAGAATTGGACCAATTGCTTTTTGCAGTACCGTTTGAGTTTCTTTATTATAAGCAACCAAATATCCAAGTAACTCACGAAAAGCTCGCTAATTAGATTTCCAAAAAGAATGAAAGAAAATGATAAAATAAATTTAAACAACTGTCCGATAATTTAGCATTGTGAATTGGAAACAGATGATTTATACATTTATTTAACTGTGTACGCAACAATCAGTTATCGTCTAGTGCAGATAACAGGTATGGTACAGCGTTTTCAATAAAGAAACTAATCAATCTGAAGCGGTGACTCAGTAGCCAAACCATTTGATTTTTAACATTTAGGTCACACATTTGAAACCCATTTTATCCACATCCATTTGGCAATTTGAGTAGTATCCCACCCCTCACAGAAATGATATGGCTCAAGACTGAGTAGCATTCTGTTCTTGCTAATCGCGTTATAGTTAAAGCCGATGTAAGCTAACAGTGGGTAAATAATAAATAGGTTGGAGAACTAATGAGATGAATAATATTAGGTGCAAAAGAAACAACATTTTATAATGAAAGGGAAATTAATCTTTATTATCTATTCTAAATTTCTATCCCAAAATGTATAGATCCATCATTTTCCTTATGAGGGGATTTGATCATAAACCAGTTGATCTCGAATACTATCATATGTATGTGAACGATTGTCATCCCTGGTCGCACAAGCCGTGAAAGGATTCTTCTTGAGATACCACACAATAAGAAACTGTATTAATAGTGGTCTTGATGACTTGGGAGCGTAACCGTTGGGGCCTAGTGGCAAGTGCTTCAGGCGCATCACATAGGTCTTTACCTGGTTGTTCTTATTATGTTAGCTCTAACATTAAAACCTTACTCCCGGCAATAGAAATCTGTGTGTAAACAGAGCTATGATATTTTTAGGGTCACTGGCAAATCAATTGATGAAGTAATTAGCTTTCATCGACTGAGGTGGTTACGATACGCATTGCGTATGCTCAACTACCTCATACATTTACTACTTCATTAACTGGTTTGATATTTTCGTCCTTGAGTTTAACCTCAGAATTACTCACTCGGTTATGTCAACATACGTGCACAATGCTTCGAAAACACTTATGAACAAATACTTGTAACCTACAAGTATCCTCTACTTTGAAGTACATTTCACAACCATAAAGTAAAACACAGTGAACTAATGAACAGTATACTCATCCTTTGGTTGGAAAATCGACATTTGTTTAATAAAACGACGGTGTTAGTTGGTAAAGTCAAGAGAGCTTTCTGAATCCATGTCCAGATTTTATTATACACCAACCCACTAAAGTGGAAGAGGCTTCCACTTAATCCGGTAGATAAATAAAGACTAGTCCCTTCAATGATTCAACCACCTTAGTTAAATCTATAAAAAGTGATGAGAAAAACCCTAAATAAAAATAATGATCGTGGGAAGCTCGTATAGCATTAGCTTTCCTATCGAGTCCTGATTATCAAATCTTCAGTTATCATTGTCCATCATTTGAGTGTTATACAGAATTATACGTCGATTGACTTGAAATAACTGACCATTCATCATTTCATAAATCATCCTACTCTAATTTTTAACTTCTCGGAGAATTATTTCATTCCAGAGGTCTGATTTTTACCAAAAAGATTTTAGAGAATGATTTTGTGTGTTTATTCCGTTCACAATAATCTTTCAAGTAAGTCTGTTGCAGCACTAAAAACCACCAAATTATCACGAAAATGAACCCTAGTTAAAAATATAAAATAATATCCAGACTCTTGGTAGTATAGGGTCTTCTGAGTTAGAGTAGTGATTATGAAACATTGGTGATTTTTCTGAATAACATTATCAATATATATTTCGTCATGATAAGGTAAGGAGTTTGTGAAAATAATGCTCAAATATTAACTAGATACTCACGATAGGAGTAAAAGCTATAAAAGGTTTTAAACATAAAGGAAATCGTATTATAAGAAACTTACCAAAGCATCAGTGAATATTGCATCGACAGGATCATCAAGAAGAAACTGAATTAGCTTAAACATTATTTTCACACAATCCGGTCCTGTATATAATTGGCATTTCGCTGGTGTAGCACAATTTCCGTCATGGTGACTCAATGAACAAACAAGATTACTATGACTTGAATGTAAATTACACTGTCTAGCTAGAATTACTTGACTTATTGTTAAGTGAGTTGCTTTTTGTAATGCATATTGTCTAACGGTCCAATCACATGCAATTAGTCCATTAGCAATCTATATGTGTTATAAATAGGAAGATTTTCTTTCAAATGAAAAGGAAATGATGCTTCAATAAAAAAGACCTAAAATCGTAAAACCCATCTCATTCGTATATGTTAAAATAACATAACTTTATCATAAGCTGATCTGTTGGATTCATAAACTAGTATGGGAAATCAGTAAACTTGAAAACAGTAAGTGCTATGAATTGATAAGTGGAGTTTTCAAGTTAAGTCTTTAATTTGTTCAATACAGTCGACTAATTGGCATGATCATAGTAGCCTACATCAAACTGAATTTCAAATTTAGATTTCTTGACTTCATACTCTCAATTTGACACAAAGTTAGCTTTTACATGGTTATAAAGTAACTGATCACTTTAAAAGATAAAATGAATGGGTTATAGGTTAAGTTGGGAAGTCTAAATAACCAGAAAATCGGTTATCAACAAAGCAGGATATGGTACGACAGTGCCTTAGTCCTATTTCTTGCACTTCATATCAACAGAGAGAAATGAACCTGATAAAATCGAAACCGAAGAATGGATCACATGATGAGATTACTGAATGAAGCATTTTTCTTCAAATTCGTTATATATACATAGGTAGGTAAAGTTGTGTAATATAAAGGATCAGCTGTTCCGGAACTTTCTGTCATGAAACTTTTGTCCTGCTCAAACGTGAACTTCAACATCTGATAAACCTGCAGACTAATACCCAGCTTATATAAATGCATATATGACTACTGAATTTTCCTGTCTTTTTATATAATCCATTTGAATATCTTTTCATCCAAATTTTACCCCAGTCCACATCACCCATTTATATAAACATTAATCCATCATGGAACTGAACAGTCACAGTCAATACAGAACTATAGCTCCCCTCCTTATATTGTAGTATAGTATATTAGTACAATTTAGCTGTCCAACAATTTCTAGTTTTCACAAAATAACAATTTTGTACTGATATTGATGTCATTAAACTGTCTCCAAATATATATCTTATTTGTCTATCATCTATAAACTTAAATAATTTTGTTATATTATTATTATTTATATTCAGATTCTGACGTATCAACCTTATAAGAGGATTAAATTACTTAGATAAAACTACCAAAGCTATAGACGTACTTAGTCATTTGGTTTAAAATTTATGTAAAATTTAAAGTTTACAGTTTAATATTAGCAATTTATTTTAATCATATATGATATGTTATTGTATTAGATATGGTCAATCTAGTAACTGTGTTTATTTCCTTACAGATAAATGCATATACAATAGTTCTCTCAATGACATAGTAACCAGTTTAGTCATCGTAACATGTGATTCCAATAAAAAGCATATATTACTATTATTATGTCTGTTATTGTTTTAAATCGTTAAAAATGGAATCTAATCTTTGTCTAGTAGCTGGGATAAGTGATTTACATGAGTAATAAGTAAAAAGATGTCTATATTTCATTTATAAAATACTTCTACATTATATGAGCAATATAAAGCCGTCTACATCATCCAATGTAACTTTTTCAAATGAGATTGAAGGGAATAGTTCATGTTTAAAGAGATTTTTTAAATCGTAAATTAAAAATTAGTTCACAGAAAGAAAGTTCTGAAAATTAAAGGTAACTTTGAAAAGAACTTTTAAATCTATCATCAGTTAGAAGATCGTCACAACGATTTTTAGGAATGATTGACTAATTGTATAACAATAAGCTATAATAAACTCTCTTTTGAGTTGCCACTATTTTCTAATCTTAATTATTTTTATCAAAAAGGATCTTAAATACTGCAAGAATTATGTCGTAGTGTACTGCATTGCTTTAAACCTATTCCTCATATTTAATGGTACTAATGAATAGGGGAATTTACAATAAACATAGCACAAAGGCCTCTGTTCTGGCTGAAAACCACCAAAAGATATGTCTGGAATATTGAGAAAGTTAATTTTTCCATTTGGATTCATACATTTATTTGATGAAGTCCCGCAGGCAGAGATGTTACCACTTAGCTAGATGAGTAAGAACTGATGTTTTTTAGAATTGGGAAGTTTAAAATCATTGGTTATTGAGTAAGGACAACCAACTACAGGATCTCTAGTTATCTGTGCCGATCAGTTTCTAATAGTCAAATTGCAATTTGGGCAGGAGAATAAATGACTCAATATTATAATCCATATAGATTATCATTTAGTGGTTGAAAGCAATACATTTAAAACTAATCATTAAAAAGTTATTACGCTACAAGAAGCACAATAGTGCACTTACTTCCAATGAGAAAGCAGAAACACAACTGTTATATTCAGAAAAAGGTGGATCTGGCAACAAACTGTTTACGACGGTCATATTTTCCGTTAAATTTAAATCAGCGTTTAAATTTACTGGTTGATATGTAAAGCGGAGTGTTTCATTCATTTGTTGTTGTTCATTATTTTGATTATGATATCTGTGATAGGACTGATGATCATCATGTTGATTACTTTTCATTTGTTGACCATTGTTATTATCTGTTTGCTGATTAATAATTTGTTCTGATGAGGATAAATAACAAATACATTTTGTATGATCTGAATTTTTATCGGAATCATCAGGTTTGTCACATTTTACATGACTATCAAAACTAGGGATATGAATCCATACACAGCCACACACTGGACATTGTGGTGAATCACCATCACTCTGAATTTCTTCTAACCCTTTTTTGGTTATATAAATTCGAATGGAAATTGAAGAAGAAAATTTCAATTAGTTAACATTCATCTATGTGACAAGTTTTTCAAAAAGACAATAAAATGTATAAAGTTGCATCATAGAGCTAAACTGTGGGAAATCACAGATTTCATATATGACAGTTTTATAAAATGTCACCGATGAATATAATTAAAAACTAAGAATTTTTTGCAAGGTCAATGTAGTATTACCATCATTGGAAATGAGCAATATGGTTGATGAAATTCAGAAATTTGTTTCTACTACGATATTGAAAATTTCAGAAATCACTCGACTCAATTATTCATGTTTTGTAGAACAACATATTGTACGAAAAGTAAAAACTTGATATCTTGTACGAAGTATGGTTGCTTATATTAGTTTGAAGAGACAGGGAAGGATATCACGAAGGGGAGGGGTATTATTGACAATTTTGGAAATAACTGTTATCTTTAATCACTGATTCCTATTCCGAATACATAGTCCAACCTTCGTTTATGATCTCTTTCGTTGACACTACTGCTTTAGAAATATGTTGTTCATTGTGCAGATGAAGCTGTTTATCATGAAGATAATAACTCTAACAAAAGCCTACTAAGATGTGCAGCTTCGAAAAAAGTGAGTAATACAGATTTTCCTTTGACAAACATTTTTAGTGTCCGAATATTTTGATCACCGATAGATAGGAAAGGCCAACAATCTTCATAAAATCTTTTCAATGATTCCAGTACAAATCGTTTGTAAAAATATTTATTATTTCTACATAGTGAGACAGTAGACTCATTTACCAGATTATATTGACACTGGTCAAATATTTTTATGCTCTTAATGACCACGGTATCCATGATGTAACACTGACACATGTGAGAAACATAATTAATTATATTTTATTGGAGTGAATTGTCACCTAACTGTATGTAAGTTAGTTGTAATGAACCATTCAAGTGTTCTCATTCATATTCAAGTTCCTCTGTATTACTTATTACATAAAGTCGTTTCGGTGATCAGAGTTAGTTTCAACTGTTTTTTCATCAACGTAGAAATTTTCTCTATCTGCCATAGATCACTATCTTTTATAAAAAAGGTCAGCCGAAGTTGTAAAACAAATCAAAAGATAAAATTTCTACATTGATTTTACAAATGGATAAAATATTTACTAAGTGATCAACAACTATATTATAGTAGTATTTATATTCCTAAATGCATCTTACATATTTCCTAATTTCTTTCATTGTACACAGCTCAAACTGGAAATTTCTCTTATCCAAGTATCTTGACTAAAAAGAATTAGACTAATTACTTACACCTGAAAGTACTATTTCAAATGAAGAAGTGGTATATTCAAGTCATAATCTTTGAAATAGACTTCGTAGTTTGTTCAGTCAGTTGTATGTCTCAGTGTCAAGTTGTAAAGCTGCTAAGTTAACATCGAATAATTGACACTATCTTAAAAAGACGTTTAGACATGTTTTAATAAAATGATGGTTTTGTCAGATATGTCCTATCATTTGTCAGCTGAATATTTATTTGTCTTAACTCCCATGAAGCGTTTTCATTAGGAGTCAAAAAAGTTTTACTTCCGTGGTTCATTTTATCCCTCCTGCTCTAATTGGTTAGAAACTGTTTCACATTTTAAATGGCCTTGTTAACTTTTCATTTATTCTGGGTGATCGTAAATTATACGAAGTAGAAGACACTTAAAGTTTAGTAAAGCTATTAGATATAAGATGTGAAGTTAAATATTTGTTACATTATACAAAAGTGAAATCAAACCAACCGGAACTCTTTATTAAAATATTTTGAATGTACATTGTTTAATAAATGTTCGCGCTTGCGTTACACATTAATGTAATGTGACAGAAAAATCTCGCACCATATTAACTATTTGGAGTCATTAATATTTTATTAGATAACCGACTGTCAAATTTCTCTTTTTTCTAAGGAGATATGAAAAGTGTCTCAGTGTTACCCAAGATGTTAACATCACAGCAATTTCAAAAAAGGATAATAGAACAGGATTGTGTGTTCTTGTTTCTAGCTTGCTGTTCTATATAGATCTGAACAGAGATAGAAAAAAATTTTCAAGTGGAATCAACCGAATTCACTTACACAAATAATTAGAAAATAAAATTCGTCCGATTCCCCAAACTTTAGAATCGACTAACCAACCATATATGTGATCATTCAGGGTTCAAATGAATACACACTATCCAGTGACTAAATACGTTCTTTAATGAAGTTCTTTTGACAATATATGTCAAACAAAACAGAAGTAAAGGTAATCTGGAGATTCAAGGTATTTACTACTATCTCCTAATTGAATAGTACTATCATGAACATACATTATCTGGGAAACCACCGAATATCAAGAGACACTTGAAAGTTGTTTCGTTTTGACTTCAGTCTTTAAAGTCTAAAGAAGATGGAGTGACTAATAGGTTAACGTAAAATCAAGAATGACTAGGGATGACAATCGCGTTATTTCTTAAATCGGCTACAACCTAGACACGAGAATTGTATGGGTTTTAATGGGAATCCCAGATAAAGATGAATTAATAGTTCCAGATTAAAACGAAACAATTATTTAGAAATCTATGGTTTCAAGTAACTTTAATGTACTGAGAAATATTTCCAAGTCAAGATTATAATGAACGAGAGTATTGCAACAAGTAATAAAAACACTTTATCAAAGTTGTGGATTATATACAGTTTACCTAAGTCACTTCCGGTTTATGATGCGCGTAAAAAGGGAGTATATTATTTTCATCATATTTACACGTTTAATGGAAAAAATACCATATCGAATAAAAGCTTATTCTACTATTCATAAACAGAAAATAAAAAATATCATCGTCAAGTGTGAGCAGATGGTACGCAACAAATAACTAAAAATAAACCAAACAATGGTATTTATTCATTCGAAGTCATTAGAACTCATATAAATAGGGAAAACTAGTAATATTAATATTAAACAGTGAGACAATAATGTAGGTTTCTCATCGAAAAAGAATTAAATGATAAATGTAGGGAGGAGGTTGAAATAATTATCAAATCACGGCTTTTCTATTAAGAATAAAAATTCAGAAGACGAACACATTTATCAATATCGTAGATTATTCTACAGGATATATAATCTCTTTTTTTTTCTAATATAGAAATATTGGGAAAGAAAAAGAGTATTATAAATATTATAAAAATCTGTAAAATGCAAGTTATATATGTGTGATGAGAAATTAGTGTACGTTGAAGTAAATAAGGATCGAAATTGCTATCGTATGTTCCATAACTTAATATACTATATCAATTAATCACCAGAAATTAAGAAGCAGTGTTTATCCCCTAATTCCGATCTAATTGCGTCCACTAAATTCCAATATAGAAGCTATTGTGTCTAACTGATTGAACATTTAGAACCTTTATGTTTGACATGAGATGGTTTTAGGTGATTGACAAGGAGATTTATTAACACAGTTACCGATTAACAAGTAGCCTTGGCTTATGTATGCTGTTAATTGCCTCCTCTAACAATCGAATATCACAAACTTAGTAGACAAAATCAATGAATACTACTATCGTACCACTAATTCAGCTGAAAATCTTACAGTTCCAGTTGTAAACAGTTTTTAATAGAAACTAAGAATAATATGAATCGAATGTCATGCTTTTATGTAACGATTTTGGAGGTTTAATTCTCGTAATTTTTCCCACATTTTCGACCGTGTCATTTATAGAGTTAAATAAACATATCTGCCCTTCACATATATCGCGGTCCTATAGGTCAGCCACGACCTAAACAACTCAATGTTTACGTCTCAGATCATGAAGAAGATTGACACAGGTCCCAGTATCACAAAGATCATCAGTTTCTCTAAGATTATCACCACACACCTTCGGTTCAGGGTTTTGTGCCAGTTACCCGATATATTGGGCTCGATGTCATTACACTAAAAGTAGTCGCCACATTGCAACTTGGTGGATAGAGTTTAATCAACATCAAAAGGCTACACAAACACAACACTGGTTACTATTGTTTGATCAGCTAACTAGCTGAACATAGATGCAGTACTTCAGTGAAAACCTTGGGATTCATTTTTGAAAAAATACATTGTCCCTATTAAATTCTCTGGAAAAATGAAATGGCCTAATATAAGAAAATTCTTACGTAAAAGGTAATGTTCAGCAGTTTAACTGAGGGAATAAATAACACGGCTCATATTGCGATGACTTTCATTGAAAACTCAATGTTTTTTTATAGTTTAAATGGCAAACTTAGCTAGATCACTATTGAAAATCACAAAGCACTAGAGATAATTTCTTTCTCAGTTTGGTATGTATCTATATTTAAACAAAAAACGGCTTGTGTCTAAAATTATTGAGCGCATATTACGATAATACTTGGACCAATCCCTACTTTTAAATAATTATGGTCACACCCACACATATCACCCTTCAGATCCGAGTGTGGACGTCACTATGTCTATGTCTATTTATTTTGAACAATGTCAGTCTGAAATAAAAGCTAAACCACATCTAACTAAGGATTCTCGACTAACAATAGCCAAAGTCCACGATGTATCCATCAACTCAGTGGTATTGAGGCTGTGTTCATACCCGAAATTGAAGGTCTTGGGCTCAATCTCTGGATACTAGGACGAAATAGCCGTTCATTGCTCTCAGGTTTTCAATGGTGATTTAATTAAGATCGGTTCGTCATTTAAGTTATGTAGATTCTGCAATCCTCACGAATCCTCCTACATCAACACTTTTTGTTGGAGGAAAACCTTTTTGCTGTAACAATGGTAATCGAGCCAACACAAATACATAGCCATTATTTTAATCGTCGCTTTCCATTTTAACCTTATATCAGAAAAAGCTTTTAAAAAAAAACATTTTTTAAATATAAAAACTAACGAAATTGACTGCATTCTCCAAGATACACATCATAACGTCAACTTCAAACATCGACGAAGTTTTATTGAAAGATGGT